GATCTACTCCCTAATCTTAATACACGCAACAGGGAAAGCAGAAGACAGTAAAGGAAATGCTCAGAAAGTACTTTCCTTTTCAGCCAGCCTCCACTTGCTAGGATAAAAGGCTAATTCATAGTACGGGAGACTCCAGTGCCAAACTTGAATTCTTAGAGCAAGAAATGAAATTGAATAGAATCCATGTTAGCAGCTATAGCAATAACCTACCCTGCATTCTCCGAGACAGAATTATGGCATAGGTGAGGTGATCTAGAGTTCTAAGCACAGTCAGCTGGCCACCAGTTAGAGCCACCAATCAAATTCACCTGGCTTTATTACACCTCTAGAGAATCTTTGGAGAAGCTTGTTTCCATCTAAGTGTTTGATATTCTGACCCAAACCACAAAGAGAGCAAGCCTAAGCAGGTCTTCTCAGTGTAGCTTATTCCCAGAAGAATGTTCATAGGGTTGCACTGTAAGGGGGCTTTTCTGCACAGGTAATAGCATTGCACTATACAAAACAGTTCACAAACGTACTCAGGTGAATGATTAGAGACTGTGATCTATACTGTTTTGTACAGCTTACTGTAAGTAGAATCCTATTGTGTAATTCTGGTACGACTTAATGTGTCATGTTAATACCTATGCAATGCTTCAGTTCTTTCCTCGTGGTTCCAGACTTCTAGGAGGAGGAGGAGGAGGAGGAGGAGGAGATTGGATTTATACCCTGCCCTTCACTACCTGAAGGTGTCTCAGAGTGGCTTACAAACTTCTTTCCTTTCCCCTCCCCACAACAGACACCCTGTGAGATAGGTGGGGCTGAGAGAGCTCTTGACAGAAACTGCTCTTTTTTCAAGAACAGCTCTTATCAGAACTACGGCTTGCCCAAGGTCATCCAGCCAGGTGCAAGTGGAGGAGTGGGGAATCAAACCCGGTTCTCCCAGATTAGAGTCCGCACACTTAACCACTATCTCTAAAATCCTAATGCACGGCATGTTGAATGTCCCATTTTGTTGACTGTAAGGACTCGCTATGTGTAATCCACCTAGAGTCCCTGTGAGAAATCTGGACAGTTAGAAATAAAAAAGAGTAGCAAGTACCCTTTTCCTAATGTAGCTCAGTTTACGGAATATCACCTAATATCTCTTAGAGCAGCACAGAAGTATCACATTTATGCCAATTCAGCTCTGCTCTAAGAAAACCAGTACCTGACTCCCACTGCATTCCCTCCCCATTTCAGCAAAATGACTGTACTGCCTTCATGCTGAATACACACTATGGCAGAAAAATCTCTCTACTTTGAAACACCCAATACAATTTCTTCTCAGGACCTTACTTATTAAAACATAAATTTAAGTGTCCAGACAAGACTTCAAGAAGTGATTGAAATGACAAGTTAAGCTGTCATTGTGGATGTGTGCCCCACTAATACATTGGTTGTCACTTATGAGGCCTTAGGTGACACACAGAGTATCTCCAGCCCATACCCCTCTTTGTGACAGAACCAGGGAGCATCTAGGATTCAAAGCAAGATGGCACAGCAATTCCTAGTCATGCCTGCTGAAAAGTGTTTGTTTGCCCTCCCTGCCATCTCACGGAAACTAGAAGCCACTTTGTCACAATTTGAAAAGCAGTAGAGGATAACAACTCATTTCCACACTGGAAAACATTTTGTAGGAATTCCAAGGTGTCAACCCTTAACGTGAGTCAGCAGCTCTATTAAAAAAAAAACCTGGTACACTACAGAATGCTTAAGTCTGACAGTACCTGCATTGGTGGTTAAACACATGCAGGAGTTTCTTTCAAGAGGGCTTCTGGCAACACAACATTTTGATATAGAAAACAGCTTTGGGATGACCCTGAGTGTGCAGTTTCCTTTCATCGGTTTTAGAGCACCACCTTCTGGAGACTATCAGCGGTGCGCACTATAATTATTTCTTTATAGGCCACCACATTGAGAAAGTAACAGTCCTGAAGTATAGAATTTCAGTAGCAGATCAGATTTCTCTGTTTAACCTCCAAGACCGTTAGGAGCAGACTGGAATGAACACAGAAAGTGGGTGAAGCCAATGGCAACATTATAAACTAGTCAGCAAGCAGAACCCTTTCACAGATTCAGGCAGTACCTGGTCTTCAGATTATCTCTGGACTAGCTGCGTCCTGCACCCAATAAAAGTAATCAATGGCTTGTGCATTGATCTAAAATAATCTCCAAAAAACAAGGGGGAAACAAAAGAAAAGTCAAGGACATGGTTAACTTAAAGGAGAGGTAGGCCAGTTGGTTATGCATGATACCTAAATCAGGTGGAGGAGACCCTATGAAGATCACGGCGGGTCTTGAATCTGGAGGTGCCAAGCAATTGATCCAGCTGGCTGCCATCAAGCTCTGTACAAGGACAGGAATACAACCCAGGTTTCTAGGGTGACCCACTGACCCCACCATGCCAAAGCAGTTAATGTGGCAAACCTTCCCTAAGAACTTGCCCAGCCAAAGAACTCTGAGCTCTTCCATAGGCACTACAGAAAGCTATTCTGTCTGACAGATACCAAGATGAGACTGCCCTTCATTTTGAACTCTCAGCTTAGGCTAGGGGTCCCCCAACCTTTTTAAGCCAATGGGCACATTTGGAATTCTGACACAGCATGGCGGGCACAGCAACAAAATGATGCTACAAAATGGCTGCTACAGGAGGCGGAGCCAGCCACAAAACGGCTGCCACAGCTTAACTTCAGAAACACGGCGCAGATCCTTGTGCTGTGGGGGCAGCTGCTGCCAAAGCAACATTTTAAAAAATCTGCACAGCCAACCAAATGTCCAGTGGCCAATCAGAAGCCTTGCTGGGCCAAAGCCCTACCAGGCCCCACCCACTTCCTAAAAACACTTGGTGGGCGCCAGAAAAGGCGTCAGTGGGCGGCTTAGCACCCACGGGCACCGCAATGGGGATCCCTGGTTTAGGCGATTGGCAGAACTGCAGCACAGGGACAGAACTGGAGAGATCCAGAAATAATTGCCTGTGGGGGAAAAATCAGGCAGATTAAAAAAAAAATTCTCCTCCCCCACGACATTGTATTTTTCACTGGATGTATTTACACATTTTATTTAATTGTTCTGTATAACCTAGTTTTATTGCACTGCTTATTGTATTTATTATATCGGTCTTTATTGTATTATTTTATAATTCTGTCATCTGCCTTGAGCCTCAACAAGAAAGGAGGCTGATAAATGGAACAAATAAATAAAAGCTGTAATACTGAAGGAAAAAAATAATGAAATCACCTGATGAGACCATGAGCAGGGAGATCAGCCAGCCCTTACAGCGATATGGTACAGCAACTCACTGCCCAACATACGTCCCTTGCGTCATGTGGGACCCAACTGCTACACCTGGCAGCTAGAGAAGAAAACAACTGGACTTTTACAGCACCCATGTGGAAGATCAATTGGTTATACTCCTCCCTGTCCCCGAGATGGAAAAACTAGTCTCTTCCCACTGATCGAGAGGTCGCAAAATATTGGCACTTTATACTCAGGGCTCACTCTTTAGCCACCCTAATGACACTGATGCAGCTCTTATCAGGGATTTATTCATATTCCAAAATCTCTAGCACGCTGGTGGCTGTGCAAAGTTTCTGGGCCAAACTACCAGTTACACTGGAACTCCAGATGTGTTACTTCAGCCCTGAGAAGCAGCTGTAGAGAACCCTGACCTGGATTAGGGCCACAGCACTAAGTAATGGGAGTTTAAGGCTTTTCCAAGGTGCTTTCAGCTCTAGTGGAAAAGAAGGAAGGTACCTGCCTTGTGTCAATCTTTTCTCTACTGTGATTTAAACCAGCCTATGAAAGTGTAAGTAAGGATGGGTGGAGTTAAAAATCACACTGGTTACACAGCCCCGTTTCCTGGGGGGCTGTATTTTAGGAGCCAATTATTCCGCAGATGACGCTCCAGTCAGAGACCTACTAACGGACTGCTTTCAGTCATTAGGTAAATGCCTCTTAGATCCTTTGGAATGCATCAGTGCTATAATGCAATCAGCATTATCTGTAACCTAATTCCACCATCATCTATTAAATCCAGGGCTAAATCAATCTTCTCCTTCCTTGTACGATGCGTGGAACAGGTAAGAATAAAAGAATCCACAAACAAATCTCTCTGAGGCATTTATATATATTTATAGAAAGGGGAATACACATGGTATTAAATATATGTATGTACATAGAAATATGAACTCCTTTTAAAAAAGTAACCTTCAGTAAAACAGGTTGGACGGCTACAGAGCGGACCGTCCATGTTAAGCCTTGGGGCTTGAACTGTCAGCTGCTTAACTGGTTTGATCCGGCCTCTATGAAAAATAAAATAGTTCTGGGACAGCACAGGCAGACATCAGGTGCTTGCCAGGATTAGGGGAGAGCAAATCAAGTGCTTTAGAAAAGACAAGGGCTTGGGACTGGTCTCTCAGAAAGAGTCACTGGTCATTCAGAACCAGAGGTGGTCATTTGCCCTTTAGTGGTGGGAAGGTGAAAGACACCTTCTCGATAACCTTGTGACAGAACCAGGGAGCATCTAGGATTCAAAGCAAGATGGCAGAACTGCTTGGCATAATCCTGAGTCTCTGCACTGTGTTTGTGCAGCCCCTGCACAACAGTAACTACTAGCATGTTATCTCCTCTTAACTTTATTATGCTTGGGGTCCTGCTGGGTCCTTTGCTCAGTGAGCAATCAACTTCTTTTTTTAGCAAGTACATTTCATTTTTTTTTACTTTTTCTAGTTCAACTGTTGAACATCTGTCATGGGGTAAGAGGATCACTGTTGATCTTGCACAGCAATGAGATTTGGGCACTTGCTGAGAGCCAGCATATTGTAGCAGTTTAGAGCGGTGGACTCTAATTCAAAGAGCCAGGTTTATTTCTTCTCCACTCCTCCACATGAAGCCTGCCAGGTGACTTCAGGCCAGTGACTCTTCTCTCAGAACTCTCTCAGCCCCACCTTCCTCATAAGGTGCCAGTTGTGGGGAAGGGAATGAGACTGTAAGCCACTTTATCCTCCAGGTAGAGAAAAGAGGGATATAAAAACCTTCTCTTTACATCATAAAGTTCCCCAAGTCAAACCAAATTCTTTCCTGGGCAACTAGCCACCTTGGAGGGCTTGGCTTTTCTCTTAGCCTCAAGGTAACTGGAGAGCCTTTGATTGCAGGACAAAAAGGTAAAAATAAAAATAAACGGATGAGGTTCCAGTCCATTCTTGTGGAAAAAGCTGAACAACCAGGTAATACTTGCTGGTTCTAGTCATACCCTTGCTGAAGGGAAAGATGGGCAATTGTGGAAGCATCCCACTGAGAAAGTCACCTTAAAGAGATCCCATGGCTCAGTAGATGCTGTACTACTGACCTGCATCTGGCCATCCCACACTGTCATTATGTCACCTCCTGGAAGCCATCCACTGGAGTTCTTTGGTATCATGGGATCTGTGTCAACATTTGCAGTGAAGAAGGAAGTGTCCTTTTCCAGCTGGAAGTGACTGGATTATTGATTAGTCCAGAGGTTCCTGAATCATCTGGATTTTTGACACTTACAAGAACACATTTTTTTCCCTTTTGGAACAGCCCTTTAGCTACCTGATGAAAGGCCCAACATCCACGCAGGCCTGGGAATTTCACGCAGTCATGCCCTCAGCGCTGAAAGGGGCGTCGCACTTTTTTCCGCCTTTTTTGCTTTGAATCGCCCTTCTGGGAAGCATTGTCTGCCTTTGGCGGAGGAGTTGGCACAGGCCCTGAGGATGGTGGTTGGGGTGTGCTGAAAAGATTCCCATTCGGCATCTGTCCAGGATTTCCTTGAAAGATGCGATTGAAAAAGTCCTGTAGTTCTGCAGCTGAAGCAGTATTGCCATCTGACGCAGTTCTGGGGCAGGGGGGAAAGGGCAGAAGAGAGCAGAACCATCAGATCTAATCACTGTTTGTAGCTGATGGATATGTTGGACCTAATATGGGGAAAGGGGGCGGCTGGAAGCTAGACTTTGGAGCAATGTGCTATGGTAGCAACCAGCTCAACATGTGGGGAAACAATCCAAGGTTTTTGAGTCACAAATCCGGCTCCTAGCTACTGAACCATCATAGCTATAAACTTTTAGACCAGTAGGCAAAGTAACATGCTATACTCTCCCAGGATTACATACTTTTAGATCAGTACAAGTGGGGGACCTGAAAGGACTTGCGTGGAGCATCTTATTTAACTCTCACTCACTGCTTCATCCTCTCACTCACTGCTTCCTGTTTCCCTTCCCTGGCAGCCTCCAAAGCCTCTCCTATTTCCTCATTTCTTCTCTCCTTCCCATCTACCACCAACTTACCCTTATCTGCACCTATCTTCAACTTTCCCTACTTCCTTCCCCCAGCAGCAGCCACCTGGGAAGATTACAGCCAGGTTGTGGACTGGTGGCTGCCAGGCCTAATTGTATGGGGGGAACCTCACTTTTCCTACAGGGGCCTAATCTCTTTCCCCACACTACTTCCTGTTTGCCTCCTCCTGGCAACCCCCATGTCCTCCACACCTTTTCCGGCTTCTTTCTCTCCTTCCCACCCACCTGCCAACTTACCTTTTATCTACCGCCCATCTTTGACTATATTGATATTTATTTCGTTCATACCTTGCCTTTCTCCACACTGGTGACCAGAACAGGTATACTGTTATCCTCTTATCCATTTTATCCTCAGAACAACCCTCCAAGATAGTTTAGGCTGAGATTGTGTGACTAGCCCAAAGTTACCCTATGAGCTTCCATGGCGTGAGAGTGTGTGACTAGCCCAAAGTTACCCCATGAGCTTCCATGGCACAGTGGGGATTACGAACCTGGGTCTCCCAGATCCTAGTCTGAAATGCTAACCACTACACCACAATAGCTTTTGTGGGATTGCTGCTGTTGAACAGCAGCAGGCAGCCAGGCCTGACTGAGTCATGCAGGTCACATGGTAGTAAGTCACCCAGTGGCTGCTACAAGGCCCTGGCCCCAATGAGTCCTCCCTAAAGGGCCAAAACAGCTCCGGAAAGGGCCCTGCCCCATCTTCTGCTTATAGCTGCTGACAGAAACCAAGGCTTATTGTTGTAGTTGCCTGGCAAAGGCCACAAAGGGCATTTGTTTCTTAAAAGCTACAGGCACCGCTCCTATGATTTGGAGGAGTTCAACCCCCAATGGGTTGCTGCTTTTTAGATTTCAGATTTTTCTGCAAACCTGGAGCTTTTTTCAGTCTTCTAGAAAGATCTGTCTTGTCTGCTCATCATGGCTGCAGTCTCCAGATTTGAGTATCCACAAATTTGGCCATGTTGCCAATTAGATATATTGACACTGTGATTCTGACATACTGGGATTAAAGTCAGAATGGAGAGTAGCTGCAACACTGTATGATACAATGGTAGCCCCTTGGAACCAAAGGAGTATCAGGCAGTCAGCAAGCTGGCATAGGAGTCATAGCTAGCCATCAGGTTCTAGGTAAGAGTATGTGGAGTCTTGGTCATAGAACCTGGTGGCTGCTGTGAAAATTCTCCGGTTCTGCATTTCCAATAGGAAGGAAAAAGCTGCATATAGGTATGTGCATTTGTGTGTAGGGATGATAGCATTCATGGCATCAAAGCAAGGAGACTGGACACACATGAGCTATAGCTGCTAACACTTTAGAACTAAGAGCTCTTCTACATGTGAAGGGTATGTATACGTGTCATTATGGCCGTTATGGCAGGTCAAGTTATGCATTTGGTTTCTTCTCTTATCTCACAGGGGCACACAGTACCTTGACCTCCCCCATTACTTACACAACAGCTCTGATATGAGCACAGTGCTCCCATGATTAAAACGTCTCCCCTATTTATGTTAACAGAAAGATCAGATCACTGCAGGGAACTGAATGAAAGTCACCATTAATACAGGATATCTGTCAGTGTGCATTTATCTTAGATTGGGACACACAAGGCCTAAAAATAACTCATCCCTTCGGTGGCACCCATCTCTGCTCAGAAATTATTCAGAACTAACCTCTGGCGTCCTCCAGAGCCCCTTGATCCAAAAGATATGTGGTATGGAACCCGATGAGTATCTGGGGAGATTGCCACTTTCTGGCAGCCAGCCCATTCTGCACATAAAAAAAGAGTTAGCAAGTTAGCACTGAAGTGGTCAGAAGTACCTGCCTCTCAAGGAATCATCCTTGAAATCAGAGTTCTCATATACTGACAAAGTAACCCATGCAGTGACATCCTTTACCATTAATATGGCACTCTGAGTGGCAGTATTTCAAAATCATTCTCTCTTTCATGGCAGTCTTTGATTTTCAAGTTATTGCCCCATTTTACAGTTATATGATAGATGCGAAGGAATCCCCGTAATCTATGCAGCAAACATATAATGTTTTTTTAACATACATCTTATATATAGGTCTGGGAACCTGGACTGGGCAGAGGTCCTGGATGCATGCGAAAAAACAGTTAAAGGCACATGAAGTATGGATATTACATGTGCACATATTTGATGCTGGAAAACCAGATATCACACAAGTACTCAAAAAAAAAAAAAATTGCTGCTTCACCCTGACCTGGATAGCCCAGGCAAACCTGATCTCACCAGATCTTGGAAGCTAAGCAGGGCCAACCTTGGCAAGTATTTGAATGGGAGAACTCCAAAGAATACCAGGGTCGGGAGCAGTGTTCCCTCTAAGCTGAGTCAGTGTGAGCTGGCCCACAGTTTTTTAGCCTCCGGCTCACACATTTTTGTCTTGACTCAGGAAGGACGGCTCCAGAGCAAACTAATGCCATAGCCAAATCGCTCGCTAACAACTTTAATGCCAGTAGCTCACAAAATAGAATTTTTGCTCTCAAGACTCCACAGCTTAGAGGGAGCATTGGTCGGGAGCCAGAGGCAGGCTATATCATCCATTTCTCTGAACATCCTCCGTGCCCCAGTAGGAGTCACCAAAAGTTGCCATGACTTCAAGGCGCGCACGCACATACACAATGCAAAAAAAATTGCTGCCTCAATTTCCCTTAATGCCAAAAACCTATCCAGCGGGCAACCCAGGCTGAACAAACAGAAAACATCTGTTAAGACATCTAATAGCCACGTATGCTTTTTATGAGGCTCAAAAAACTCCATAAGGAGGGGACCACTGAGGGCTAAGGTACATGTTTCTGCAACTCAAGAAGAAATACTAGGTTTGTAGAAAAATATGAAAAGTTGAAAACTGGGGGCTTAGAAAACCATAACAATGATATCTGTGCATGTGCAACAGAGCCAGCATGGTGTAGTGGTTAAGAGCGATGGACTCTTAATCTGGAGAGCTGGGTTCGATTCCACACGCCTCCACATGAAGCCAGCTGGGTGACCTTGGGTCAGTCACAGCTCTTTCAGAGCTCTCTCAGCCCCCCAAAACAAGTCTAGCTCGCCACCTTAGTGGTGCATAACACTAAAAGAGCTAGAACTTAAGGCTGTCAGACAATCTTCGGATCTCCTGACTATACTAGACACATTGCCACATGATAATTATTAATTATTATTGTGCATATGCAAATATCACTGGGGGGGAGGTAGAATTTTGAGTGGCATTTTGCACTGCTGTAGCAACCCAAAGGGGCGCTTGACAACCACAAAAGCCTCAACACCACTGCAAAAAATTTTTTAAGAGAAAGTGAGTGAGGGGGGAGAAGCAGGACTGGGGGAGAAGAACAGGTAAGGTGGGTGGCTGATGGAAAGAAAGACTGGGGGGGCAGTTGGGGCAAGGGGAGTGGAAGTGGCAAGACGGGAGAGGAGAAATAAAAGATGTGGGGGAGGGGAGCCAGGACAGTGAGAGGGAGGAAGGCTGAATAAGTTTAGTTTATCTATCAGATTTATACCCCACCCTCCCAGCCAAATTTATATCCCACCTACCCCACAAGCAGGATCAGGGTGGCATATAACACAGATAAAACAATAAATAATAATTCGACACTAAATAACAATTCATAAAAGCCTCAACAATTCCAGTTAAAAATTTCTGATGGCAGCACAAGAATGACTAACTACTGAGCCTGCTGCAATAATGTCAGGGAGGGTACATTCTCTTAAGAGACCAAAGTCAGCCGACACTGATGTCTAAGGCAGATAAGGCAAGTTGAGCATGTTGATCAAGCTGAGCAGGGAAGGCCGGTGTCACTTGGACATCCGCCACCTCAGCCAAAGGCCTGGTGGAACAGCTTGGTTTTGCAGGCCCTGTGGAACTGTAATAAAGCCTGCAGGGGCCTAATCTCAACCAGAAGTATGTTCCACCAGGCAGGGGCCTGAAAGCAACCCAAAGCAAGAGAAGAGAAGATTGTGGTGGTTGGGGAGATTTACCTTCAGCCATGAGTCTTTGTGGGCCCCCGAGTTGTTAGTATTCATTTCCCAAATTGCATGTAATGAGAGTTATTGCAAAAAGGAGTCTTAAAATCCCCTCTCTTTTTTTTGGACTTTTTTGTGTATTTTCCATATGTGTATGTGTATGCGCATGTGTGCACCTGGAAGTCATGGCAACCTCTGGTGATTGACCACTACTGGGGGCCTGGAGAATATTCAGAGAGGTGGCTGAATAAAGCCTGCCTCTGTCCTCCAGACTGCTGGTATTTCAAGGAGTTCTCCCATCCAAGTACTTGTCGGAGTCGACCCTGCTTAGCTTCGGAGATCTGATGAGACTGAGCTTGCCTGAGCTATTCAGGTCAGGATTTAAAATCCTATTTAACCTTCAGTCACTTTGATTCCATTCCCCTTGCCCAGTGACATGGTCGTATTACCTGTGATGTCATAAACCTTTCCATCCATCATGGCAAAATATGTGATTTTCAGCCCTAACATGCTAGATTCAGCCCAGAAGTCACCCTCCTCCGCTGCATGAAGCTTGCTACATTCCGCACAGTAGCGGGCATTCAATGGATCACGGTCCATCTCAAACCTCCTGCAGTGAAAGATAAAAATGTTGTTGATGCCAGAGAACAGGAGCATGCTGATGTACCAGAAATTGGAACTTTGACTCTCTACTCTCTTGGAAAGTACTGGGGTGAGGAGCGGAAGAAAAGTGAGGACATAAACAAGAAGACTGGAATTACATGGCAGTAGAATTGGCATCAATCAATTTGTTTAATGTCTGGGCATATAATGACCACCAGTGCTGTTTCAGCTTGGGGAAATGGCATGGGGGAAGGACGAGCCAAACCCCACACACCACCACAGACCACAGCAGAATCAGGCCCATGTGGCTATTTAACAGGCCGTTCCCTAAACTTCCTGGGGGGTTCAACTCGTTAAAAGTCATAACCTCTAGGTTTAAACCTCAGTAAGCCATAAAGAAGTGAGAGTAGCTATGCCAACTAAAAACTCACCTTAGACCACTGCCCAGGTGCTTTCAGGTGTCTGAGCCTTTGCCAAATCCTGTTCAGATTCCCACGGAATCATTATATTAAGAAGCACTTTTTCTTACATAAAAGGAAGACCTCAGTTCCCTGGACACCAATTCTGCACTATATACCTGATTTTGTTTTTACATAGTGAACCTATGAGCGCATGGAATACCTCAAGCTCTTGGCAGAACACTTTGAGAACAAGGCTACAGACTAACATTTTAACCGAGTCCAGAAATGCACACCTTTCTACTTTCAAAGGAGACAGGAGTCTTTGTGCCTTTGTGACACGCTCAGAAGAATACATGGCATGAAAACAGCATGCATGCTGCATCTCTGCTGCAGCACCTCCCAGAATCAATGCTCAGCAAACTCTAGAAATCAGAAATGCTATCAGTCACTCAGCCTAATGTGATGGTGGGACCAGTGAAGAGCTAATGGCTGCTAGCCACCTACTTGTGCTTCCCCTGGCACTTGTTACACATCATCGTGTTCATGGCTTCTTTCAGGTCATCCTGCAGTTTGGAAAGGAACTCATTCATTGATTTGGACAGCTCCGTTTCTGCCATGCGTTTACTGAAACAAAAGTAAGGGAAGCCATGAGCCAGTGATAATGGTGCATCTATAAAAGAAAAGAAGATGGCAGAGCCAGGCAAAGGCTGCACATGAGCCTGAAATCAAAATGAGATTTACTTCCCAATAACCACATCAGGTTGCAAGACAGATAGGCATCGTATGCTAAATCGAACAACAGACTCCCAGTGTTCTCTGACCCATATGCCACTCTCTCCCCTGTACATGCATTCACACTGCTGAAAGCAAGGACAGGCACTCTTCATCCGTCCTGCTAGTTTCTCACCATCTACAATGATTCAGACACGAGCCCTGTTCACAAGCTACAGAGAACACATATACAATCTGTGTACAGTTGATTTTCCTTTATATAGATATTGACTCATTACCCTGTTATATTCAACGCTTGTACAGCTGAACGTGTGATTGAAACCCCACATGAATCTGGGTTCTGGTTCCTGGTTTCATTTGTGAAGTGAACATGTGTTGGGTCTTTCTTAAAGACAGGAGTACACACGTACATGTAGGCTGTACATGCATTCTCTGCAACATGTGAAAGGGCTACTGTAGTCATTCCACTCCTCAAACTGGGAAATCTACTAATGTTTTAGGGTTCCTTACAAGTGGGAACACTTCCCTTTCACAGAATAGTGGAATGAAATGTATTGTCTGAGGGAGGGGAACATGTAAGGAAGTCAACACTGGGTACCCAATGGGCAGAGTTTACTCAGATAGGTAACTACGCTGCAGCATGGACTCAAGGTAAACATACCTAAATATGAAGACTATTCCAACTTTGCTACCAGCTTTGGCTGGCCAAGAACATAGTTTGGCCCCTATCATTTCCAATACTCTCCACTTACTGTATTTGTTAATATCCTTGCCTAACCGCTAGGTGGGGAGAACTCAGATTTTCTCTTTTCTGCCTACTAAGGTTTTGGCATATTCCTTAACCAGCATATGATCTAGTTTCAGAGAATGCAGCTTGACCAATGTTGACAAGATGATTCATCAGTTCACTGGACTGGACACTCAGAGTGTTGCTTTGTTTTAAGGGATGTTTAGTTTCAGCAGGAACAGTCTGAGGTCGGGTCCTTTAAATAACTTTAATGAATGGGCCCTTTCTGTATTTGCCATACAGTTTAATTAGCTTCCTCCAAGAGCTGTTTCTGTTTGGAAAACAAACTACGTTTCCCCCTCCTCCATTCTGCTTAACCACAATTCCAAAGGGAAGGGCATAACCATAATGTGCTTTAAGTGGCACACTATACAGTATTTACCTTGATCGTCATGTCACCGTGAGAGAAGTAGTAGAGATAAGAGCAAGAATTAAAGAATCCGTACAGGACACTTAACAAGACTTGCCTTGGTTCATATACACATGCTAACTTTTTTTTATAAACTGTTTATATACCCCTCGCCACCTTTCTCTCCAATGGGGACCCAAGGAGGCAAACTAAATATCTGTGAGAGAGAGAAGAAGAAGAAGAGATTGGATTTATACCCCGCCCTTCACTTGGAGTCTCAGAGCGGTTTAAAAACTCCTTTCCCTTCCCCTCCCCACAACAGACACCCTGTGAGGTGGGTGGGGCTGAGAGAACTCTGACACAAACTGCTCTTTTTCAAGGACAGCTGTGCCAGAGCTTGTGACTGACCCAAGGTCACATCAGCAGGTGCAAGTGGAGGAGTGGGGAATCAAACCCGGTTCTCCCAGAGTAGAGTCCATGCACTTAACCACTACACCAAACTGGCAGTTGAAACACTGGCAACTACTATGGAGTTGTTCCTACAAGAAAGTGTTACAAAGCAGATGCGCATTTGCAGTTTCTCTCATCTCCTGTTAAAGAAAGGGACCCCATTTTGAGAACTGCCCTGCATGTCTTCTCCCCGTCCACAGATCAGTACTCCTGGTGTCCATCTATCTAGTATGTTTTTACCCAGCTCTTCTCCCAAAAAGCTCAGGAAGGCATATTGAACTCCACTTCCTATTCTATCTTACCTCGCTTTGGCTGGCAGAGAATGACTGGCCCAAGGTCATGCAGTGAGGCTCTTGACTCAACGGCAATTTGAACCCTGGTCTCCCAGACCCTAGTCCAACTCTCTGACTGCTATACCACAGTATTCCCTGCACGATCCTCATTCTGAAGCATCAGGCAACCAAATGGACTTCAAGTCACTTACATTTCATATTCCTTCCTCCTCTCAGGATTGCTGACGATATCCCAGGCGGCCCGTAGCACCTTGAACGCCTCCTCTGCCTGTGGATGCTTATTCTTGTCCGGATGAACCTGTGCAAGATCCCCATCCCCCAAACCAACAAGGAGTCAGAATGCCTACATTGTGTTAATAATAACGATACCCTGATCAATACTGGTATTTTGAGCACTTGGGAGAAGCACATAAGACATATTCTCTCAGTCATTCTAAACACCCATGTAACACTGGCCAGGACTGTTATCTACATATTACATACCAGTCAGGTAGCTGAAGCAGAGGCTTGCCTGCAATAGTGGACAGGCTGAGATTTGAGAAGGGACCTCCAGCTCGTAATACCAGCACACTCTCTGTTAAGGAGTTCAGCCAGGAAGGAAAGGTTTCCTCCAACACGGTTCCTCTCTCCACAAAATGCATCGTTAAGAGGGAAGGAAAGAGATGATTGTCTTTTATCAAAAGTATGCCTAGCTGCAAGAGTGGTCAGCTGGATTTTAGGTAATGGAAGAGAATATCAGGTCTCAGTCAAGAAAAAGCTCAGGTGCTCTTTAGGTTGCTATGATAAGCACCTACAAGTCTGTACCACACCCAATACAGTACTACTGCAGTTCATTTGCCCATCACACTTTGACTGGTAGAAGTAGGAATAGAACGATTTGCCACTCAGCAGGTGTTTAAGGATGGGGCTGCAATCAGGCAATCCTAGAACTTAGCTGTAAACCTGAGAACCTGACATGTATTTCTTGCCCCCCAGCAGACTGTTCTTTGATATACCTGAAGAAAAATACACACATGGCCAGCAGTTTCCGGAACATAATGGCTTGGACAATCCAGTGATAATTTTAGCCTGTGACAGTGGTCATTTTGGCCTGATCCCCCCTCCCGCAACAGCACAGTAACCATAGGGTCACTACAGTGGGAGATTGTACATGAGATGAAAGAAAATGATGCAGACTGCTTAACCTACAAGTTGGGAATCATTGACAGTTTTCTAGAGAACTCTACCTGGACTCTGCCCCTTTGTGCAAAGTCATATTAAACAAATTACCACACCAACCAGTTATAGAGGCCCCTCTCCTATATGCCCAGAGTATATGACAAACAACTTTGTAAAGCCACATAAGGAACAGTGTTGTGTTTGTGAACTGAAAGGATTGTCAGGCATAAGGCAACAGAAAACTGTGCAAATAACTCTCCCAGACTGAGCCTCATAGCTCTCAGGCATTCGCACCTCAGACACACTTCAGCCTTCTCCAGCTCAAAGGGTATGCTCACCAGTACAGCCAATTGCCGATAAGCTCTCTTCAACTCCGCATCTGATGCTGTTGCTTCTAGACCTAGCACCTGGAAAGGATTGAGCTCTTCTTCAGGGGTATGTGCCATAGCCAGCAAACGTGCCACCACTTCTCCAGGTTGATACTGCCCAGATTCACCAGGAGACCCACTGAAAGTAGCATCCCCTGGCTGGTTGGTCCTTAGTCCTTTAGGCATCCAAAGGAGGTCATGCCACTTATGCAACAGACTTACCACCCAGGTGTAAGTCCTGCTCTGTTTGAAGAAAGCCCAAACTTTGGGCAAGTCAAGAGCTGAGAGAAGCCAGGCCCCATGACTGGTGTGAGCCAACCTACCCACAACGCTGAACAGGGCTAACTTGGAGACCTGCCAACAGAGTCTCAGGCTACCCAAGATAAGCATGAGGACCAGAAAAAGTACAGCACAAAGCATCTTGAGCAGGTGGTACATCAGGCTTGCCCAGGAGCCTAGCTGTCGCATTAGTTTCCTATAACCCAGCTTAGCATACTGGATCCAAGCCTGCATGCCGGTCTGGATGGTGTCTATTTCACACTGGCTGAAGGAACAGCAAGAGTAGAGGAACTTCCCACCAGCTTCCACACCCTCACCACACCTGTGGGTGACCTGCACAATCAGGTGGATGAATAATTTGAAGCAAGAGATGCAGAAAGAGGCCAACCTCTCCAGGTGCTTGAGTAGCTCAGCTCGGATATGGTACCTCCCACCATCGCTCCTCTTCCTACTTTGCCTCTGCTTCCCTCCAGATAGTGCAAATCGTCCTTCCCACTTGTCCTTTGCTGCAGAACGGTGCCTTTGCTGCCGAGCAACCTTCCTTCCACCAGGAGCCCTAGTATAGTCAGGAAGTTCCTCCTTGGCCTTTGACGTCACGTCATCTTTGATATCTTCCTCTTCCCCTTGCAGTAACTTTGATGCATCCTTCTCCTTGGCGTCCAAAGCCCGATGCTGACAAGCAAAGCCACACAAATGATGCCCCTTCTCTGAATAAGTTCCAGAAGGATCAGAGGTATCTCCCAGACAGTTACAAGAACCAGTTTCATCACCAGGGGCACTGTAGCCAGTAAAGTGCAAGCCACCATTATCTTGCTCACTGCTTCCTTTCCAAGAAGTTTCGGTTTCCCTTGTATTTCCCTCCCCGCCTGAAGTCTCAGCCTTTTTAGGAGCCAGCCCACAAGTTGCCATTGCTTCCAAAACTGGCATCTCTCTTCTGGGCCAGACTTTGGAACTACAGCACCCTTTAGAGATCTAGGCACCAGTGGGCATGCCGTTTCCTGCATCATCACCTGAGAATGAGCACTTATCAGTTGCACAAGGGCTAGCAACACGAGGAACAGTCCTGGCTAAGCCACATTGGTCTGGTTTGGATTCACACAGCCCTCCGGACCTGAGGTGCTCCATGGTGCTGGGGCTCCAGAATTACTCTGGCCTTGACAAGGATTAAGTTACAGCCATCATCAGTCTTTCTACCTGCAAAACAACCAAAACAGGCTTCAGAGCCTGACTGTACTCAAAGAGATCACATAAACACACAACCCTCTTGGCTAGCTGGAATTTTGTCCCTCTCTGGCCCCACTAGTGTAGGATCCCCCCCCCCCCCCCCCCCCCGATAATACTAAAAAACCCCAACCCACACTGAGGACTGAAGAGGGGCGGATAGCAGCCACTTCATGCCGGGAAGAGGGAGGAGAAGAGCGCGGTCCCCAGGCGAAGGAAAGGGAGATGCTGGATGTGAGGCGAAAGGGGAACTCACCTGGTCCCGTTGCCGTGGCAACGAGAGGGGGCGCTGCTCCTCCCTCCCACTGCCCCCTCTCTTCGCTGCCTGTCTCTAAGCCTCCATTTCCGCCTTCCGCCCGCCTGTGTGTAACACTTTTCTCGGCTTTCTACATCCGGGTCGGGCGAAGACGATTGAGGAAGGGTCCCGCAGGAAAGCGTCAGCACTTCTCCGGCCTCCTTCCCGCTTCTGTTATTAAAGGGCCAAAGAGCAGCGCCTCTCTCAAGCGGAGCGGAGCCACCCCGGTGGCGGCTTTGTGTCTACTTCGCCCGCCATTACGGCTGTGTTAGAGGCAGGAAAGAGTCCTCCTTACCTCGGATAGCTGAAAACCGCGGCTCCTAGAGAATCCGGCTACTTTAAGAAAGTAGATCGAGGGAGGCGGCCTCGTTTCCTTTGCCACCTTCAGGGACAAAAAAGGAGTCCCTCTCGTGGCACTTCCGAGATTGCTTGTAGCGGCATAAGCTTTTCGGGGACCGTAAAGCCCACTTCGTCAGGTGGAGGAACTGAATCATCCTTCCGTGCGCGTAATATATAAAAAAGCTCATTACTAGAGTTACTTTCTATGGAATTTTTTGTACAAAGCTAATCTACTATGTCGTTCGCCACAGCCGTCAGGAGTGTCACCGCAATCTTCTTACACGCGCGAAGGTGTTTTCACATTCATAATGAATGCTGTATGCGTGCACAGGAATGCTTATACCGTAAATAAAACTTTCGTTGGTCTTAAAGGTGCCGCTGGACTCAAACTTCGTGCTGCTGCTTTAGACTAACACGGCTACGTACCTGAATCTCACATTCATAATGAAGAAAACTGTTTTATTTGTCAGTTGGCCACCCCGTTCGTACGTCTGATGAAGCCGGTTCTAGTCCACAAAAGTTTATTATTTATTAATTCGATTTATATCCCGCCCTCCTTGCCTAGCAGACTCAGGGCGGCTTACACAGTAGGTTAAAATACGTTAAAACAAAGATGCATCCCACGGTTCCACAGGGGAAGTCGAGTTAGTCTGTTCCTGCAAAAAAAATAAACAGCAGGCTTAAAGGCGAACAATTTTATTCCAGTGTAAACATAGTGGCTGGAGCTCTTTTTTGCCCCTTCCAATACAAGGAGTGACTTCTCACTAGGCAGATCCTTTATGTAGGATAGTTCCAGGTGGTCAGCCATATTGGTCTGAAGCAGTAGAACAAATTTAGAGTCCAGTAGCACATGAAAGTTCATACTTAGAATAAACCTTTATGCAGGAGGTGTGAAAATAATAATTTTAAAAACTCATTTAGTGTGGGGTTTCTTACTATAGGTGTTAAATATCTTAGCAAATCTTGAAGCTTCGGGGGGGGGGGGCAGCAGGGCTATTTGGCCCGGGCCGCAGGTTCTTGGGGCCCCCCCCCCAGATTTACACTTTTGACATTAAATCACATATTAAATAAAAATGGGAACATTTATTACAAAGTCTTACAATATTCTTTTTCTTATTGTATTAAATGTAAACATTTAAAATATAATACTACTAATTTTGTATCATTGCTTTTGCACTTCTTCATTTTTTAATTTATGATGGGGACCCTCAAAAATGGAATTGGCCCATGCCTCTCTTGACCTCTATGAGGGCCTGCCCACCCATTTCGTGCTTTTTACATGGCTCCAATGCAAATGGTCTGCTTACTGAGGAGCCTTTCATTACATCTGAAGAAGTGGGCTCTCGTCCACAAAAGCTAGAGTAGAATTTTTACTGATCCTTAAAATGCCACTGGTCTGCTGTTTATGTATCCCACAATGAATCTGAGGCTCAGTTCTTCTGCAGAACCGTGCTCTTGAACCTGAACGTGTGGGGAATGGCTGTCATTATACTGCACTGAAGTGAAACACTCAGCAGATGAGAAGCAGCAGCGGAGTTATACTGTGCCCTTCACTTGGAGTCTCAGAGTAGCTTACAATTTCCTTCCTTTCCTCTCCTTACAGCAGACACCCTGTGAGGTAGGTGGGGCTGAGAGAGAGCTCTGAGAGAACAGGTCCGAGAGAATTGTGACTGACCCAAGGTCACCCAGCTGGGTACATGTCGAAGAGGAATCAAACCCGGTTCTCCAGGTTAGAGTCCACCACTCTTAACCACTAGACCAAACTGGCTTGCTAGCTGGAACTTTCCAGCTAGAAAAGCCTTCAATTATAATACCAGTTGTGATGACATAAACATGTTTGCTGATGTTGAAAGCAGGTCATGGGCTTGGCATTTAAAATATCTGATGTAAGAACTAAATGCTAGGTTGCCAACCTCCAGGTGGAGCCTGGAAATCTCCCAGAATTATAACTTATCTCCAGATGAGATCAGTTCTCCTGGAGAAAATGGCTGCTTTGGAGGGTATACTCTATGGCATTATATTTGACTGAGGTCCATCCCCTCCCCCAAACCCACCCTTCCCAAATCAGTCTCCAAGGTATCCCAGCATATTGGAGACTTTGCACATTGCTGGTGGCAGTGCACTAAAATTAAAAATTTTTGGTCAGAGGTGTTGAAGGTAATCCAAAAGGTCACCTCAATACAAATTCCGTTGACACCAGAGGTTTTATTTTTAAATACCTGGCCAAAAGATCTGTCATCTAGACCACATAAAGCTACAGTGGAAGTCATGTTGGATGCAGCGAAAACTGCGATTGCATCATACTGGAAGGATAATAAAGCACCCAGTATTGAGGTGTGGTTTAAGAAATTATGGAGCCATTACTTAATGGATGCAGTCACAAATAAACTAAATTTCATGTTTCAGAAGCCGACTCTAACAGTATTCACAGACAAGTGGTACCCAGTGCTTGACTACTTGTCTCAACAACAATTTATCTCTTCCGAATGGACCCAATACTACAAATGGATTTAAAGTCAAAATGTTTGTACTACTGATTAGGAATTCTTTTCCTTTCTGATCCTTTTTGCTTTATTAGTTTGTTTATTTATTGTTATATAAAGGGGGGGGGAATGCTTATGTTACATTGGACAGATTGAAAACATCCCCAAAAAATAAAAACATGAATGTACAAGAGCTGTAATGATATAGCTTACACATTGCGTTATATTCACTTTTAAGCAGTTATGTAACTATTTGTTGTATCAATGTTATCACTATTTACAAAAAAACAATAAAAATATAAATATATATTTTTTTAAATCAGACTTTCAAACCCTGAAGGGTTCCAAGAGGACTGTGCCTTTCAAGGTTAAACGATACTAAAATTCCGTGCAAGATCTTAGGTCCTTTTTCAGCAAGGTGAAAAACACCATTAATCCATGGAGATCAGGTGACTGCATTGAAAAGACACAACATTATGCAGCAGAACATGTTTCGTATGCCTGAGGGCTCCAGTTCAAGTCCTGTGTATCAGACAGGTCTAGGGAGCAGTCACAAACACTGGTGAAGTTTTACTTTGTCAAACCCAGTTGCAGAGGATGGGCCACTCACACTGATTGACTACCCAGACTCCACCATTTTGCTTAGGTCAGGGATCCCCAATGTGGTGTCGGTGGGTGCCCACCCAATGTTGTCCGAAAGTGAATGTGGTCAGGTCGGGCACTGGCAATCCAATTGGCTGGGCAGATTAAAATAACATTGTGGCAGCTGCCCCCACAGTGTTGGTTTTATTCTCTTTCACTCCTCCTTTCCAGTGCATTTTTTAAAATGATCCCCCCTTTCCCCCTGCACCTGGGTTTCCTCTGTGTGTGGCTTTGTCTCCGGCAGCACCCCTTTTGTGGTTCACTCCAGCTCCTATGGAAGCCATTTTGTGGTTGTGCCCATCACCCTGTGTCAGAATTCCAAAAATTCCCGTGGGCTTTAAAAGGCTGGGGACCCTGACTTAGGCCCTTCCCATCTAGCATTCACTAGCTTGATTTGTCACGGTTTGCTGATAATTTTCCCTGCAACACTCCTGCCTGTCATATGGATCTCCTACCTGTCATATGGTTCAGCACACCAGCAATGATATGGGAGAAGGTAAACCCTGCCTCATCCCATTGCCAAAGCACAACTGTCCAGACAGTGTTGACCTTCCTCCCATGGTGAGTCTTATCCCAAGGACAGCTATGCTTAGCAGTGGGCTAGGGAGCAGGACACAGTCCTGTAGGCCAAATCCCATGACAACAGAGAGAACTGTGAAACAATCCAAACACTCACTGAACTACAGCAAGAATGGAATTCTGAACCCAAGTCACAAATGGGGTTGTCAAATCTCTAGGTCTAGCAAGGCATCCATGCCATTGGAAATTACATCAATGGACAGGAGACAAACAGCATTGCATCCCCATGAGAACTGTACTGCAGAAACATCTGTTATGCATCTGGCAACAGTGCAGGAGCAAGGCTGGAATGAGTGTTGGCCATCTCTTGGCAGAGACGCTGTATCTATACTGGCTGCAGCAACTGTCATTGTTCTTGTAAGCCTGGCTCACACTCAGCGCTGTGCTGTGAATGGGCTCCATCCTTGCTGCTGCCACTCTTGGTAAGCTGCCTAGAAAAAAATCAAGAATGATAATAAAGGTACAATTAGGAGAAATCTTCAGCAGTTGTATAGCATATGAGCTCATGTGAACTGTTGCCAGTGGTGAGCTACAGATGTGAGACAGTGGCATGCCCTAGTTGCTCTTCAAATTCCCATGTTTCCCCCCTTGGTGCTGCCTGTATTCAGGAACGTGCCTGCTTGGGGTTGTTATGTAGTCATTGGGCAGATACTTACCGATCCCTGGTAGGAAGCTGCAGTAGAATTCTGGAGAGCCAGTTTGATATAGTAGTTAGGCGTGCGGACTCTAATCTGGGAGACCGGGTTTGATTCCCCACTCCTCCAAATGCATCTACTAGTGTGACCTTGGGTCAGTCACAAGTTCTTTCAGAACTGTTCTCTCAAGGACAGCTTTTGAAGAGCTCTCTCAGCCCCATCTACCTTCGGGTAGTGAAGGGCGGGGTATAAATCTAATCTCTTCTAGAATTCTGCCTACAGTTTCCATGTGTGATGTTTCTGGTGCCAGGTTCAGATTATGCAATGCAAAAGGGATCATGTATGTTCAGCCAGTAGTGGCAATGTAACTGGGACTGTGCTCCCCCCACCCCAGGGTTATGCTGACATGACATAGCAGTGATATTATGCTGCCTTATTTACAAAATCCCCCATCCTCTGCACTATGCATACTTCCCAAGTGCCATGAATCAGAAAGACTGCTAGCAACTGTTGCAGAAAAGTTGTTAAGCAAACTAGTTTTTCAAACAGATGCCAAACTAATTTTTTCCCCTATTCCCCCCATATGAAACCCTGGGTTTCACCTTTAGAGAAGCCCCGTACATATTGGGTCAATCTTAACAGCAGCAACAGATCTTAAGGGCTTTTTGCTACAGTTAAACAGCCATTCAAATCTATTCATTCCTAGAGTCGCACTGAGAAAGTAATTCCCACCAACTGTGCATGACATTGTTTGAATGGAATTGTAATGACTTTGGTCATTT